GCTCGTGTCCACACTGGGTGGACCGGGGGCAAGGCGGCTACTCACCCCTGCAGATGGCAGGGTCTGTGCCCCAGAACAACGGGACAGCAAGGCTCTTTGGATAACCCACACCCACCTTCCCTGAACATTTGGGCAAAATCCTTCAACCCCCACAGCTCCATGCAGAGGTAAAGGATCTCAGAAGGAACACACTATCCTGGGGAGACTACAGAGGCAGAGATGTCTGGTTATAGCCTGTTTCTTCCCATTTCCACAAGCACCCCAACCCATTTCAGTGCAGTCTGTGTGTAAGACATCGCCCCAGGTGCCTTCACAGGCTCCCGGTGCAGCTGAGGCTGTCCAGCACCTCTGCCACCTGCCTCAGGCCTCTGGTCCTGGACACTGACTGAAGCATAGACAAGCAGCCACCAAGGCCATTTGCTGGCCAGGGCTGAGCCTCCTCCCCAGGGCACATGTGTGCTCGAGATAGGCTGGGTCGTTAGTTACTAAATTAAAACAGGCCTAAGAGAAGCAATGTGCCCACCCTAGAAAAGCAGCAATCCCCAACCCTGACCTCCCGCCTGCAGGAACCCACTGGGGCAAGGCTGCCTCCTATGCCCCCCCCCACACACCACACAGACTCCTGAATGAGAAGGACTTTTCCATGTAAAACAAAACACCTCATGGTTTGCATACCATCAGCCTCGTGTTTTCCCATTAAACTACTTTATGCCACCCTGGCCTTCAGCTGCCATCTGTCAGTACTCGTGACAGAGAATGGAGCCAGGTGTCCATGGCTGTCAGCTTTCCTAAGTGTATTCTCGGCTTTGGGAAGTTCCTGCCCACTATTCACTGCTAACCCCAGGAGGCTGGAGGGGAAGAAAAGACCCTGTAAAGAAAGCCCTGGGAGTTTGTAACCTCTTTCACAACAGGCCAATTTCAGAAAATCTGTACGTGCACATGATTTCCGAGGGAATTTCCGAGGCTTCAGGCTTCTTATTGCTGATTCCCTCCCAGCCTGTGGACCCCAAGTGAAGAGGCCCTGCCATGACCCGATCCCTCTATTTCACAAAGGGGAACAGAGGCCAAAAGGGCCAAGACCAGAATGCCAAGCAGCGGTGGAGAAGGGCCTGGATCCCAAGTCTCTGTTTAATCTGTTCATTCACTTACTCATCTAACAAGTGTCAGGCTCCATCTCTGGTGCTGGATCCAGCACTGAGCCACGGAGGCAAGACCCCTACGCTGTGGAGCTCGTGCCCTTGGGAGCCCACACGGGGTCCTTTCCATCACACCACAATGACTGTCTGCTGTCCAGTCCTCAGTGATGGGCCAGCTGAAGTCTTTGTCTTCTTGACGGGGTACATGACCACTTCCTCTCCCAGTGTCTCACTGCATGGTAAGCAAGCCTGAAGGTGACCAGTCACTGCCCGCTGAATCCCGGGGGCTTTCTCCCCACCATTCCTCAAAGGCCCTGCTGACTTACTTTCTCCTGCCAAAGCTGGAGCTCTTTTCTCAGCTTATCTAGTCTTCTCCGACACAGCTGGTCATTCCCTTCTCCACAGACCACTCAGCTTTGGGGCCACAAAGTGCACATTCCAGTTGTCTTCCACGCTCCCTGTCACTCCCTCTCAGGCCCTCCCGTTGGCTCACCTTCCTCTTCAGAGTTCTCTAAATGCTGGCGAGCCTCACTGCTCAGGTCTGGACCCCCGCCCTCTCTCCCGAGCTCTGTGGATGACCTCATGGTCCACAAGGCTTTAAATTCCATCTACACTGCACACGGCTGACCACTAATCCACGTCTCCAGCCGCAGCTGCTCCAAGTCAAATACTCAGTGCCTACTTGACGACTTGTCAACCTGAGAGATAGGACATTTCAATCTGAACATGCCCCCAAATGGAGCCTTGGTCCCCCACTCCCCCAACCAGCGACTCTCCAACTCTTTCCTCGTTAAATTATGACACCACTGTCCATCTACTCATTTGTTGAAGACAGAAAACCTAGACCTCATGCTTGATGACTCTTTTCCTCCAACTCCTAACTCATCTTACGGGGACCCTCTGTTGGTTCTACCTCCAAAATTCAGTGTATCTGGACAGTTTTCTTCCTGACTCTGCTCCCACCTGTCCATGCTCCACCGCCTCAGGCGCCTGCTCACCATCTCCTCACAGGTACCCAGACTAGAACAATCCTTTAAAAACAAAGGACATATAACTGCACTCCTCCAAACCCTGCAATAACTTCCTTTTACACTTAGAATAAAATTCAAACCCCTTACCACAGCCCACAAGGGCCTACACGGCCAGGCTTTCACCCACATCTCCACCGTCATCTCCTACCCATGTCCCAACCCCAACCCTACGCCGAGGACACTGTTACTAGTTTGAACTCATCAAACTCATCCTGTGCCACAGATGCGACAGTTTCCTTGGCTTAGAATGTTCTTCCTCCATATCCTGTCTTGTCTTCCTCCCTCACTTCATTCCAGTCTCTTCAAATTGCACCTCCTCAGAGATGTCTCCCTTTACCGTCCCAGGTAGACAACTCCCCACCCACCCTGACCGCCTTCCCTGCTTGATTTTCCCCATGGCCCCCATCTAAGACCACAGGAGCTATCATCTGTGTATTGTGTCTTTCCTGCTTATGCCTCTGAGGGCAGAGATGGTTTCTGTTTTGTTCAGGGTTGTATCCCAAGAACTTGGAGAAGGACTTGGCCCTTGTAGGTATAGAGCAGGCATGAGTGAGTGAGTTGCCAGAACTCCCAGACCAGAGCAGCCCTTGTGTGGGGTCCTTCCTGCTCTCCTCCCAGACACACTCCCGTGTCTAACTCAATCCAAATGCATTCCAAACCATGAGAGGGCTGAGCAAAAGTCCAGACTAGCCCAGTCCAAGGCCAAGTCCCACACAGGGACATTAGGATAGAGCAGGATTGGGCCTGGAGGGTACCCATCCTTGTCCCCCATCCAGTGTCCCCAACAAGCATTCCAGCCCACCTAAATGCACACCGGGGCACCCACCCACCACCTGGCAGCACATGAGATGGTGAAGAAAGTCTGCCCCCTGGAAACCCCTCACTGAGTCACGGTCCACTTCAGCGGCCAGCTCCCACTACTGAGCACAGTTCTCTCACAGGGCTGCACTGGTAGAATGGGTAGGGCTTTTTTCTATCTGGTTTTAAAGGAAGGACTAAAGATAATTTGCACCAGAAAAGAGAGGAACCAGGGGGTCACATGTCAGATCATGGGTTGAATGAATACTGGCCTGGGGCAGAAACTCTGGGGACCAACACTTGTTTTAAAGACTAGCTGACTAAGGAAGGACCAGACAGGGGAAGTGACCTGTCTGGGAGCTTGCCCTGTGACAAGCCAGGACCTCACCTGCTTTGCCCAGCTCACAGGGAACTCTCTCACACAGATGGTCCGTGGGACTGGGCCATCCTTGCTGGGAGTGAAGGCTCAGCTGGGTGCCTCCTCCATGACCTGATAAAGATCTCTCCCAAAGAATGGGACCCAGCTCTCACCAAGTCCAAAGGGAGGCATCGGGTACGCACCCCACAGTGGTCACTGTGGCAAGTGGCACCAGCCTTCCCTGGGTGCCAGGCACCATGTTAACCTGAACACACCTACAGAGGCCCTTCCATACCCATCACACTGGCACTGTTACCCACATTTTTCAAACAGGAAAACTGAGATACAGAACGATTTGTTTTTTGCCCAAAGTCACCTGGCTGGCTGGTGGCCATGAGGTAAGACCAAACCTGAGCTTCCTGACATCCATCATCTCACAGACTACAGTGCAGCCACCCGGGCCAGGCAGAGGGGCCAGTCAGGAGGCCCGGAGGCGAGGGAGTTTCACAGAAGGGGCTTCTGAGCTGTCAACTCTAAAGCCACGGACCCCCGCTATCCATCAGGTGGTAAGGATCACTGTGTCCCAACCAGGGCAGGTGGCCTCCTTGGGGGAGAGGGGGTTGCCAGTGTAAAGATTCAGCATTGACCTTTCTACCTTAGGCAAAGGACCCTGTGAAAGAAGTGAGAGGCCCTCTGGGGCACTCGGGGCTGGGCCAGCCCTGCCTTGTCAAGAAGCCACAAGGAACCCACTCACCACATGAGCCAGCCTGTGAGCCACCACATGAACCCAAGGAGGTTCACAGCACAGCAGAGGGCAGACACCTGGCCAGGCCCTGCTGGGCTGCAGGCGGGTCCGAAGCCACGCAGGTCAAATTTCCCAGGCCCCTTGCGAAATTTCATTCCACAGCGTGTGAAAATACTTAGGCAATTCAAGCAGGCCCAGAGGTTTTGCTCAACATGCTCCAGGCAAACCACCAGCAGCAACACCACACTCTAAGGTTCTGCCCCGCTGGCCTCTGGTTCTTGCAAACTGCCCCCGCTAATGGGAAGTGCNGCCCCGCTGGCCTCTGGTTCTTGCAAACTGCCCCCGCTAATGGGACATTCACCGAGCCCCTTCCCCTGGGCCGCCTGTGGGAGCCTCTGAGAAAACCAGAAGGACACCCAAGACAGAGTAAGCCATTGGCACTCAAGGCAGAGAGTAGTGCTGAGGGAACACACAGCCAGGTAGTGGTCCTGGCTCCAATCTCCACCCTGCAACTCCCTAGAGGACCTCATGCAAGCCCAGGAACTCCTCTAAGCCTGTTTTCCTCTACAAAATGAGGCGACCATCCCTGGGTCATAGGAGGGCTGTAGGACTGAAGAAGTGTCATAGGTGATGGACCTAAACCTGAGGCATAGCGCCATTCTGAGCGGCCTGACCT